AGCTTCTAGACAGGGAGAGTGACCGCTGGAACAAAAGACTAGTGCTGATTGGCTGATAGGTGGCAGGTGTGAGGTGAGAGAAAGGTAGACTGAGGAAGAAGAAAGAGAGCAAGGGAGCAACGGAGAACAAACAGGGGAATTACCAAACTATAACCACAACCAACACTAGGAATAAATAAAGTAAACTAAGAGCAATCTAAGAAGAGTAAAAGATAAGACCTATCAGGCGAAAATAAAAATACCTGGACCAACAGAAATAAATGAAAATAAGAAATCAAGACAGGCAAATAGCAGAATACAAAGAGCCCAAACAAAACGGGAGATGATAGTTGATGAATATCCCAGGTGGGAAGATAAGATTAAAAGCAAAGTTATTAAATCCATTGCTTCATATTTTGATCCAGAAGGTTTCTGGATCACCTTCTTGTTTCCACTATTCTCTCATTTACAATCATCATCACCATGCAGATATTCACTGGATCTCACTGTGTTCGTAGAGAAATGGAAGGAGTTTATTTGTGAAATAACACTGTGGCACACAATAGACATTAACCACTTAAGAATTATGTTCCAATCCCCAATCTCCAGCTTTTGTAAATCTTTGGCCTGCATACTAAAACCAATGTGAACATGTCCCATGACAGACTCAGATCAAAAGTTAAAAAGAGTTTTTATTCCGGTGGCGTCCTAATTTTGTTTTATATTTTTGTCTGCAGCGCTGTGTTTTCACACGTGCTGGAGAGCATTTAAGGCGTTATGCGACAAAACCATCTTCGACAGCAGAGAACAAAGCTTGAGGGCCACATACTGGCACAGAGCACGGTCCGTCTACTTCTGACTGGGTGTTTTGGATTTGTCCTACAGTTCTTCAAGGGGACAAATGTCATTTCCAAATGCAAGCAGTGGAAAGGAGAAGTGAAACCAGATAGGGAGGCAATACAGGCAAGGTTATTCCCAAAGACACGTTGAGAGGTGATGGATGAAAGAACATGGATATTTTGTTGTTGTTTTTTCTATTACTGAATCAAGAGCTGCACAAAGGACCAGGTCGGTTTGCTGTGCAAGCACTTTAAACTTTGCAGCCAGGCTGAGAAGTGTTTACCGAGCCTTAATCAAATGTTAGTGACCACCTTTATATCTATTAAACATGATGGAGAAAATGTTAAATTGCAGGAAAAGAACCACCAGTCACATGTGTTTTACATCAGATATATTTAGCGGTGAGCATTGTCGTCTCTCTGACACAAAAACCTACTTTCCAGGTTGGAGTGATAAATATTTCAAAAGAGTGGAAATGAGCTGAGCAGAAAAAAGTAAATGGAAGAGCGGGACGGCATGACTGAGAGCAAGACGCGGCGCATCTTAGTTTGACAGTCTTAGCAGCAGAGAGGGAGATTTTTCCTGGTTTTTATCAAAAAATAAAACGAGTCTTAAACTAAAGATGGAAGCTTTTCTGGTTACAGAGGCCGAATAATGTGCTGTGAACCTTGATTAGTTTTTTTAACCAGTAATTAGAAAAACCACACCAAGAAATTATGTAATATTCACACTATTTCAAAACAACCATTTCATTTCCATAGATTTTGCTCAAACTTTACTCATTGATCAAACAATTGTAAGTCAAATATCACAGCTCGAAACCGGTCTGGCCAGTTGCTGACATACAGTTCGCACATGTTGGTGTCTTAAAAACTATCTGAGCAATTTTGTCTAAATGACACTCATACAAATATGTACCACTGTTTCAAACAAACATGATAATCGTGGAAGCTGATTCAAAAGAGTTTCTTTTCTCAGCATTATTTGGAATATCTCCTATTGTAAAAAAGCCAATACTGCCTGGCCAGAAGACCTGCACAATATGCTGTAAAAGAAAAAAGACAAAAAAAAATGTATTAAGGACAATTTGTGCATCACTGCAAAGAACTGTTTGGATGCAAATTCAGCAGCACCCATTCACCCTTCTGTTGTCAGTAGCGCTTGCCGAGCGGATGAACTCGCATTGCTCTTGATGCTCTGCTTGTGGGTGTGCAGATGCAAAAGTTCATAGAGAGTGATAGTAAAAGGTGATGATGGAAAAGCAAAGTGAGAAACATGTGGGTCAACACCAGCCGCTATCATCGTACCAGCTATGTAATTTTGTTCATGTCTTTTATTGCAAAATCTCAATCTTTTTTCTTGTTTTGTTTTTGTTGGTCTTGACATTTGTTCGAAAAATTGCAGAACAATTTCACGACTTACTATAAACAAAAGGTGTAAACTATACAGTAGGTCATTGGCCTTTATCTTGTAATTAGCTGCAAAATAAAGCTTCTGCTTTGCTGCTTATAGTGGTCTTGGTTAAAGTAATGGCGCTCCTATTTGTATATAATTTTCATATGATTTCTTTCCGCTTAGAATATTTGAACATGAATTTCCCTGGGTGAATACCACCTCTTGTTCAATGATGTGTGCAAATAGGCACCAATCACCCATTCTGTGAAACGCCAGACCTCAAAGTCCCACTGGACAAAAGCACAAGCACCCACTGACCAAAGGTCAGCCAGGAAGCCTACAGTAATAATTTTATAGTATAAGCCCACGACGAGTGAATGGAAATGTGTTGTGATTGGCATAAGGCGCTTCATAGGTGAGGTAGGATAATGATTGACAGACTATACTGTGCAGAGGCCGAGGTCATTGCTATGCAAACCAAACTTTTCAACAAATGCAAAAACCTGGCAAACAGTTTCCTCAATAAATGCTAACTTATATTATCTATATATACCATATGTAGTTTACCTGTTTAAACATGCAAACTAAGAAGAGTGAAAGGGGATGGGATTTATTATTTTTTTTACAAAAGAACTTTGTTTTTCAGACATCTCACTTCCCTGATATGCTTTGCTGATGCCTCCGCACACATAATAAATATACTTTGTACTGTAAATCCCAAAGAGCAGAATCACTTGTTTTTTTGTTTTTTTTTACTGCATTGATTCAATTAATAAATTGCTTTCAGAGCTTGGTGCCAAACATTTTTCACAGCTCACTATTTAAATCAAATATTTAAATGACTTTTTGCTCATGCTCAACAGTTTGTATTTTATTTATGATGTTTCAGAGCCCTGTAAAAGCAGTCACACCCCTTGCACATTTATGCATTTTGCTGTGTCACAACTACAAACATCTATAGATTTAAGTGGATTTTTGAAGAGCGAAGTAAATAAAAATGGTTCAATTAAAAAAAAGGTGGTTTGCATTTGTATTCACTTCAATTTACTTTGTTACCTCTCAATGAAAGACCATCTGCAACTGATCTAGTGTAATAATTCACTTACTCTTTTAACATACTGCAGCTGTGATGTTGTCTCAGGTGTAAAATGACGGCAATGTCTTAATCCTATAATACACTAAGTAGTGCCTCTCATCTGATCTCTCCTTCTCTTTTCATTCCCGTTCCATCTCATTATTCCTTATCCACTTTTATTACAAACACATTTAGTGCCTGATGCTGGTTATTCAATCTGACAAGAAATCCCCCCGTCCCTGTTGCAATGATGCAACGTCGCTGTGTTTGCAACGCGTTTGCCACTGCAAAGCTCCTTCACAGCATGCGGAAAATCAAACAAATGACCAACAAAAGCTGGGATAAAAATGGCAACCGCACCAAGAGAACCGAGTGCTAAAACTTCATCGTGTCTCGCCAGATCCGTGCGTGTTACGTAACTGTAAGACTGCAGAAACAGATCAGCTCCAATGATGCCAATAATACTTGCCTTCTTATCCCTCTTCAACTTGGTGCTCTGCACTTTACTTTCAATTTTATTGCCAATTGCAGCGAGGAGAGTACTTAAAATCTCAATCATTTTTCAGACAGAACTCTGGATGGTGTTCAGTGAAGCACTGAAAAGTGGCCAAATTAAAAGCTTAAACACTTAACACACTCGTATGTTTCTGCTCGTTCTCCAGCATTACACACCTGTATGTCCATTCATTTTTCTGTATTTTTTGCATTAAACTCTAAATATTATGCCACTTCAGGCTGTCTGGTGAAGACAACGTAACATTTGTCTCTCACCATTCTCATCATATTGTCTGCATTTTCTAGCCTAAATCATGCAAAAGTGATCAATCAATCAATCAATCAAATTTTATTTGTATAGCACATTTCAGCAAGGCATTTCAAAGTGCTCATACCCCTTGAACATTTACATTAATGTTTCTGATCTACTCCATTCCATTGCATCTCTGCCTCCATGTTTGGATTGTTATCTTCTGGTTTTCATCCAGAAGAAGACTGTATTTATCTCTGTGAATACGTTGGGATTTTTGGAGCACACTGACTCAGAGTTAAGCGATGCTGGGAACTCAACCTCTCAAATTGTAAAGGTGAGAAAAGCTAATGATCTGTGAGCATGCAGACCTGTTTCTATCCCCGGCCCCCCAAAAATCCTGACACTGGATGACAGTGTCCACTACACTGAAGGACAAGGGCGGAGAGCTAAAGGACACGGCACTGTCTGTTTGGAAATAGTTGATCATGAAGTGATTGCTGTGTTAAATTTACAAATAGAAGTAACAAAGGATGCAGGAGGTCCTTTGCAGGAGGAAGAAGGGGTGGAACTGACTGTAGCTCACTGTTCAGCCAATACTGATCGACCCGAGACACACTAGAATGAAATGAAAAAAAAAAAATCAATGAGCTGATCACATGACAGTCAGGGGAAAGGCTGCAGCCCCATTATCATGATCATCATCATCATCATCATCAAACTTGTCTCCTTTCCTCAACATCAAAAGGAAAGGTTGAGGAAAGGAGACAAGTTTGATGATGATGATGATGATCATGATAATGGGGCTGCAGCCTTTCCCCTGACTGTCATGTGATCAGCTCATTGATTTTTTTTTGAGGGTCCAGCCGAGCTCATTGTGGGGCTCTGATCTTCATCACAGCCTTACCCGGCTGCAGTGCATGACCTCTTTTGCAGGACTGTGTTACTGCATCGCGTGTTACTCACAGAATCGCTTGCGTTTTTACGCAGCTGCTCTTCCTCTCCTCCGGGCTCCGCGGCGGGATCCACCACCAGCTTCTCGAAGCACGCCGAACCGAGAGAGGAGCTCTTCTGCTGGTACATCATCAGCTGGGACAAGGGGAGTTTGGGGCTACCGTGGGCCGTCAGCTCCGGTCCGCTGCCCGTCTCCGGAGCCTGACGGCCGGAGCTCATCTCCGGGGTCGCGTCGCCTCCGCCAGCGGCGAGCTTGTTGTCTCCCTCAAAAGGCGCCGGAGTGGAGCAGCATAAGTTCGGCTGCGACGACGAAAACACCCGGTCCAGCTGTTTCCTTTTCCTCTTGAACATCCACAAGCCGGACTCCCGCTTGGTGCCCTCCGCTCCACCCGCGGCTCCGCGGCGCTCCGAGCCCAGCTTCGGACTGAGCCACGGCTTGGTTTTCTCCTGGAAATTCTTCCACATCCTTCGCTGGTAGGACATGGACTCCTGGCCCCGGCCGGAGCCTCCGGGTTTGGGGGATTTTTGCTCCATGGTGCCAGTGCAGCAGCCACCCAGCCTGAGCACAGTCTGCAGCTGGATCGGACGGGTGTCACAGCCGGGCTGCTGCTGCTGCTGCTGATGCTGCTGCCGCTGCTTGTGTGCGCTTCAGCCGATAATCGGTTTAGGGCGCCGAGGAGGAGACGCACGCCGTGATGATGAAGTGGCGGCCAGTCCAACGGGGAACCTTGCAGAAAGACTGTGCAGACTTTGTGAATTAGGCTATTATGTCACACAGCGGCTATAAACGCAACAAACCGGCCATCATCAATCTATATACAAGTTATCTCCTCGGTTGTAAAGTTATAAACGCACTGCAGAATTTTTTTTTAACCTGTCTGCGTTTGGCTGTGGGGTTCTCGCTCCTCTCTCCCTTGTGTTTAACCAGAGTTAGACAGACCGGATTGCTTAATTGTTGTATTCAAATAAATGCAGTGCGCCTCCCTCTGGCCAAACCTCTTGACTTGGTCATCACACCCTGTGAAGAAGCTTTTGATTTACTTTTACTTCACTAAACTGAGTTAAAAGAACTTGACACAATCAAGTTCATACAACAAGGTCCTAAGTACGCCTGAACAAGTACATATTAATTAAGTGAACAAAAGGTAAGAATAGTGGTTGAACTTACTCACATTTTTTAAGGCAGTTTTTTTTTTTTTGGAGTTAAGACAACTTGTCAATGTTTTAGAGTGTACATTTTGTCACATAGGGATAAGAGATTGTGGGCGTTTGTGGTCCTCACAAAATAGTTCAGTTTTAAAGTGGAAGAGAAATTTTAGACCATCAAAATTTATATCTATAAATAAAAGAGGAAATCTGAAAGGTGTGGCATGCCTTTGTATTTAGCTAACCCCTTACTCTGGTTGTCTTTTTTTTTTTTTTTTTTGCTTCAACGTTAAGCAGTCCCCAGTATCTTCAGTCTATTCTTGCTAACTTCGTTTAGCTTTTTCACTCCTGCTAAAGCAAAAAAGCAGGGTCGTGTTCGCTCTTTTCATTATTTAGCAGAATAAAAGGTCCCAAAAGCAGAAAGAACTAACACATTGCAGCAAGATGGCAGCAAGATGTATTATTAATGTTAATACAAGTATCAACTGGGTCGTTATTTGGATTTTCCTCAATAAGAAGATCTAATTGTATTACCACCTGCCTGCTGTATTTCTTGGTCTTCATGTTTCTGTTTTGCCACTAATGTGAAAAGCTTTATACAGAAATTAAATCACACACAGGTGGACTCTATGAATTAGATGACTCCTGGTTGTACTGGATTGTGAGGTTTTATAATGAAGGGAGCTGAATACAAATTAAACCTTCTTACTGCTTTTTCCTCCATTATGTATTGCTTTGTCTTGCTCTACCACATAAAATCCAAAGAGGAATGGGTGTTTTCTACAAGCCACTATGCACAGCAGAGTGTGATACCCGTCCTATTTAATACCATATTGTTTTGAGCACATTAGCCAAGTCTGGATAGGATATTTTTTCCACCACCAATTAGGTCAAGCTTCAGAGAATGTTATCAGCCCACGAGCAGAACCGATGACCAGGCTGAGCTGAGCGGCCTCGTCTCCTTTGCTGATGTGTATAATAACTCATTACTTCATCCCCCCCTGGCCTTTGTTTCAGCGCTGGTCTGTGTTGCCCCCTCACCAAACACCAGAAACACAGAAATAAAACACAAAGTCATGAAAGCGTATTAATGTCTAACCCCAGTGTCCAGGAACAAAAAAAAGAGGTCAAAGAAGAGCAATTTATCCGCAGATCAAGTTCACAAAATGTTAATGCGTTTATCAAAAGCCGCGCGACCTCGGCCTCACCTGTAAGAGTGATGATGAAGGATGCCTTATTCAGCAGGATCTTTGCCTTTAGCCTTGTTGAGGCAAACACAATAAACCTTCAGCACTGGGGTGATTTATAACACTTCCAAACTCTGATGTGGAACAGACATTTTCCTTTAAAGAAATGTCCTAGAGACTGGCTTTAACATGGGAGGCGTAGTTGTTAGCAAGATTGTGTTTTTCCATTTCTGATTCTACAAATTAAAATGCTTTAATTACAAATTCAAATTGCTTAGGAGCCCCCTTTTAACTAAGTAGATGGATTTCTGAGGAAGCGAGCCAAGATGCCCGTCAGCTGCCACAAACGTTTTCACTGAATCAGAATGGAAAACTGATGAGTCAGCATTTGGAAGGCTTCGCTGTCTAATGGTCCTAGTCCTCCTGATCAGAGGCTAATACACAGCTGCACCCACCTGCAGAACATTTGCCCATATATCAAATCCTTGAAACAGGCTGTTTCTCTGACTACAACAGTTTGTAAAACTAGGAAGCAGGACTGCTTGAAATTGAATTGACTATTCAATATTTAATTGGGGCCTGCCCATAACAATGCATAAGAAGAGCAGTGACTGACTATTGTTCTTCACCTCAAAATAACTGCCACTTCCTACTACCATTAATGTGGCCCCTACCGCTGTATGCCCCCTCACCATATATATATCAAAATGTGCGACTCGGTCCTGGCATTGGAGCTTTTACTTTTGTTGGCGATATAATTAACAAAAAACAATTTAAATTCAAGTCAAAACTAAAGACTAACTGACAGAAAACTGTGTCAGTTTCACTCAAAATAGAAAGAATTTTGTCTCCCTCTGAGCTGAGAGCACTTAATATGGGACATATGGGTGGATTTAAAATTAGCACAAACATTAGCATTTCACTGCCCCCCACTAGGGCACTGCCTTCGATGTAGGCCGTAGGCAGTGCAATAAGATTAGCCAGCATTATCTTTTTCTCTCAGGTTAGCAAGGCAGAGCATTAGCATTAGCCTTTCACCTTAAATAAGGTATTAGCTATTTCTCTTACTTATTAGCCATGGTTAGTATACTGAATGGAGTAAGTCAATTACAGACAACTTGCTACTGACAGTATTCACACTAACATTAGCATTTTGGTTCACACACTCATTTTAACATACTGAATGGTGCAAGTCCATGTTAGTCAACATGCTTGTGAAATCAATAGATTTCCACATGCTATTGATGGCATTGCAGCTTTCTTTAGCATTGATGCTAAAATTTAGCATCAGAACACTGGGTCCAAACCACCAGGCACACTTTGGCAGGCCCCGGGTAAATTTCTTCAGGAATTTTCTAGTTCATATATTATTTTTCAGTTTCAGTCATCTGCTACAGTTCACAGTCTTTTGCTAGTGAATTTAAAAATTCAGCCACATCAAATAGAAATTACGGGAAGCCAGAGTTTAACAAAAACAAACCATAACAAAACAAACAAACAAAAAAAGCCAGCCATAAGACACAATGAGAGTGTGGTTAAATCAGGGAAATAACTGAAGGATCCAGCAAGGAGTGACTGAGAAAGAGGTGCTAAAGTACTGGGATGTTGATTGCTGAAACAATGAACCTGGGATGATTGCTAACTGATTGCAGGTGTGAGGGGAGAGAGCAGAGGGCAAACTGAGGAGAGAGAGAAAGAGAAAGTGGCACAGGGGGCGAGGGAGAGTAGACAGGGAATGAGGAAATTAATCTAACAGTAAAGCAAACTAAACATAGTTAAACTAGAGTAACTAAGAGTAACTAGACACTAGAAATAAACATAAACTAAAATCACTAAGAAAGACTGAACTAAAGAAAACAAGAACGAGACTGAGCCAACCAAAATAAGAAACTACCACAAAATGATAATGAAACTGGGCTCAAAATAACAAAAGCTCCTAAAATTATGATTCAAAACAGAAAATTTTTTAAAAATAATTTTCTGTTACTAAAAAATTCGGAGTAATTGCAGCTGTCGTAATTGGAGATTTCCTTTTTTAAAAACCCCACTTTGTTCACATAAGTCACCACTTTAGTTTTCAGATCCATCCACGTTCTAAATTAGGTGAGCCCCACTTGTCCACGGAGGATTGTTAGGAAACAAGGTTGGGAACCTTGTGGACAGCGCTGTAAATCACAGTGATGAAATTCTTCTTTAATCACTGTAGCTACAGGCACAGTGACACAAGCATGAGCCGAGACATGAGGACATCCTGAGAGCATGAAAACCTGCGCACGTCTCATTTCATCTTCATTATTCTTCCTTGTTGACTTGAACCAGGAGAGGATGGCTTTTCTTCTTAAATGAGTTTCAGTAGACAGTTTGTCTTGATTTGCAGCACATGCGTTTCGTCATTTTGTTCCCAAAAACACAAAACCTTTCAAATGCGACAATTGCTTTTCTGTTTACGTCCTGATGCCTGGAGGGGCTGTGGAGCTTGAGCAAGCTTTCTGGGATTAAAGAAGAGGCAGCAGCACGTCTGCACACCCTGCATGGCTCCATCCAAGGCAGGTCACTTTCAAGCTGCTGGAGAGAAACCAGCCCGTCATCTCACACATCTTCAAACAGCCATGCGTAAAGGTACAGGCAGAGACATTTCTTTTTTTTTTTTTTTTTTTAGGTAAAAACACTTGTGCTCTAAAAGAAAAGTGCATATCAACATCACTTTTTATGTGGGACTGGGATTATTGTTTTGCGCATTTTAGCTGAAATCTTACATGTGCATCTTCTCTAATCTTCTCGTGTTTAATGTGCAGAGCACCAACACAGAGTCATGTGCACAACCCCCCAGCTGATTTGATTACACCTGATGGAATGGTGCGGTGTCTGAAAAAAAATAATAAATACGGCTTCACTTCTCATCTGCTCCAGATATATTGTCTGTACAAGCGAAGCACTAACAATCTCTCCGACCAGATAAATTAGTTCAGAGTGCAAGTGTTTTTGACTAATTAATCAAGAATTATCATGTGTCTGGCAACATCATGCTGTGTTATCACGAGTGCCTAAGTAAGAAAGCAAAAATGTAATATTCAGCTTTAACATTGCTTTTCAAATGGACCATTAACATGATTACAGGCTATCATAGTCTGGTATTACACAAAAGCCTTCAAGCGGAGCTCCGCCTCACAAATAGGAGCAGGAGCTTTTCTGTCTGGAGTTGAAAGGATCTGCAACCATCTGATGGATGGATGTGAAAAAGAAAAAAAAAACTAACCTTCCATTATATATCTTGATATTTCTTATACTATTTGGTAACCTCAAATAGTAAAATTTTTTTTTATCCAATATAATTTCACAGACATCTTGGTTTACACCTGAGCTGTGTTTTCAGCAGTGAGAGCCCAGGTTGAACCTTATCAAACAAAAATGATAAGATGAAAGAAGCACTGATCGACTCCACATCTTTTGCATGTTGTCCATCAAAATTTAAGTGGGCTAGGAGCAAATAGTGTTTGATTAACTCCACTGCTCAATGCATGGATATATTGTGATAATGTGCCGAGAAATAATCCAAATTTATACCCAGACGTTTCAGTTATTATCTGCAGATGTGATATATTGATATTATCGCAC